ATTGTGGATATCAAATACATAAATCTTTGTATGAAATTAAAATTTGTCAGAAACGTTAAAATTTAGGCATTATGTATAAATTCTTGTATCTTTTACATGACACCGGACGGATTTTATCATAACCTCACCTATATGTTCAGGACAACGAACCAGTTTTAGTGCTTAACTTTAAAGGTTTCTGACAACGGTACTGTCTAGGAACTTAACGTGTTCCTGGCCGTGATTTAGTCATACTATTCGTGAGTCCTTCAGTTTGTACGTCGGCGCAGGACCGACGGGCGGAAGCTAATTTCGAACACTGCTCTTTCTTCAACAAAAAGGCGAGGGAAGCAGGTACATTGTACCTTTAACAAAGTATGCGCCCTGAAGTGAAAGGACTAATATCTTTCAAAGTCTGTTAAATATTTATCTTTATTTTCATAAAATAATGTATATTATCAGTTAATCTATCATTATTTTACTAAAAAACAAAACGTAAAATGCTTTTTTTAAGGAGTTTTCTTGTGGACTACTCTTGTGCTGAAGAATTTCAAACAGGAAACTATACAGATTTGCTTACTTTAATTTTAAATAGCTTTTTAACATAAAAAAAACAAGATGTGTTTTTTAAACACTGATGCCCCCATATGGCATCTCATGGCAAAGGTTAAAGTTTCTCGAATGCAAGTCCAACTCCAAGGCCATGAGATAAAAATTGTAGTAACCCATGATAGGTCTTGTCTCAGGAAATATAACTCTGAAATATGAAAGCCCTAGCACCAACCTTTGAAAAGCTGTGACAAAGGTTAAAGTTTTTTGAAAAGTAAATCAAACCATTAAACAGTTATGATTAGCAAAGGTGCCTCTTCTAAAATTGTAAATTTCATGACCCCTGGGTCAGGGTTTCTGATGTTAAGGCGGGGCTCTAATGATTATATAGGGAAAATGCATTAATTCTTTGAGAATCTTCTGCTTCTGGGTTTTAAGCTGATGATCTAAGTGCATGGTTTTCAAGACCAAGGATGCCTCTTACAAAATTGTGAATTTCATGGCCCCTGGGTCAGGGGTTCTTTTGTTGGGCGGGGATCTTTTGATTATATATCAAAAATGCATTAATGCTCTGAGAATCTTCTCTTCAGACCCTGAGTATAGCTAACAAATTTAATGCAGTAATATAAATTTAAATGTATAAATATAAATAAATGTGTTTTTTATCTGCTCCTGGGTTACTAGGGGGCAAACAGAGTACAAAATAGTAATAAGTGAAGCGAAAGACAGTTACTCCCCTTTGCTTAGTTGTATAAATCAAGAAATTCTTGTATATCATTTGATCAAAAGGTTATTTGACTGAATGAGATTACAAGAACGAATGTTTAATAATTAAAAAAAAGTACAAATGAATGCTTAATTTAAATGAGCAAAGCATGCTCAAAGTCGAATTCTTGCCTGAAAGCAATATAAAAAAATTGACATAAAGATTATTTATGGAGCAAAATACCCAATTAGACAGAGTATGTGCAAACTGCGGTGTCTTGTTTGACAGTTGGCGAGTATCTGTCATGTAAAGTCATAGAGAACTGGCAGGGGACAATTTTCAGTTTTTCCGTTTTACCAACTTTATACGGACAATGTAGAACAAAGACGAGAAACTGTTAAAACCTTCATTAAATACATGTAGTTCACTATAGACATTTTCATATTTAATGTATAACGTAAACATGTGTAGGCAACTACATTGCTTTTTTACTTTGACTTATTTAATAGTTTCCTCTATGAGTATTGTGACGTCATTACATTCTTGTTGACGTTACCACCATAACGTCATAAGTTTAAATTGTTGAAAACGTCTGAAGAAAACAATGAAAGCGCTTAGGTTTTGACAACAAGTGTTGCCTTTTTATTTTATTTTTTATGTTGATAACCGGACACTGTGATATTTCTTTCGTTTTTTGGTTGGATATATAGAAAGCACTACAAAAACTGTATATCCTAAGTGTCGGATCTACTAAATAGATACATGGTCAAGGATGGAAATTTATATAAAGCACTAAAAATGACCAACGACACGAACAATAGAAATTGTCAAACAATTTCTCCTGTTCGTGTCGTTGGTCATTTTTAGTGCTTTATATATATATATATATATATATATATATATATATATATATATATATATATATATATATATATATATATATATATATATATATATATATATATATATACAACTCGTTACTAAAATGAATAAGTATTTTGATGTAGCATTTATAACGATATTTAGATTACATGTATATTCTCAAGGTTAAGTTTAGAATTATTTATTTTCATTCATGCAAAGATTTGACATCTCAATGAGGATAAAAACACACTAGCAGATAGATTTTCTCTTAATTTAAATTTTTGGATAAAAAACAAACCTTTGAGTCTTAAAAATTCTATAAAAGAATAAAAACTTTTGTCTGATCAGACATGGTCAAAGCCAAGGAGATCTGTTTGCATCAATTTTACTTTTTCTTGACACCTTGTCCTACATACGGTGTTTCAATGGATCTGTATTTGTTCTACTTTCATTTACAAAATTATATCTAATATTTTGTAAACATCATCATACTTCCGTTTTTCTTGCAGTGATGCTTTTGTCCCCCGCTTTCGCGAAAGCGAGAAGACAATAAATCTCATTCGTCTGTCTGTCAGTCTGACCGTCTGTCAGTCTGTCCGTCACAAAAACTTTAACCTCGGTCATAACTTCTGAATAAGAAGAGATAGGACTTTCATATTTCACATGTTCAGTACCTGCAACAAGACCTTTCCAAATATACTCTGAATTTTAACTCCTTGACCTTGAAGTTTGACCTTCTTTTCAAAAATGTTAATATTACTTTAGATTGTTCATAACGTTTGAATAAGAAAAAGGGGCTTTCATATTATACATGTGTATTACCTGTGACAAGACCTTTTTAAATATACTATGATCTTTCCAGATATACTATGATTTTTGACCCAGTGACCTTGACCTTGAAGTTTGACATACTTTAAAAAAAAATGTATCTTTGCTTTTAACTTTTGATTGAGAAGATATAGGGTTTTCGTATTTGACATGTGCATTATCTGTGTCAAGACCTTTCCAAATATATTATAATTTTTGACACTTTGACCCTAAATATTAATCAGGTTTTGGGTAATGCTAAATGTAATGGTAATGCATTGCAATGTATTACTTGAACTCAAAGAAATGCTAGTAATGTGTAATGCCAAAATATTTGCATTACATGTAATAGTAATGTAATGCGTTAATTACTTTCTCAAATCTAGAGTAATGCAGGCATTATATAGCATAACAAAGCATTATTTTGTATATACCTATTTTAAAAATTTTAAATGGACATGGAAATTATTGTTTAGACTTTTCAAATGATAAAAATGAATTTAAAAAAGTTAACCTGTTTGAATAAAATCTCTGTATCTATTTGCACTATCTACAATTACACTTACAAATACACTTAATTTATATTCTGTTTAAAGTACAATTACCAAACATTCTAAATTTTAATACTTAAATTAGATATTTAATTTCATAGAATTTATTTAGAAGGGTTTTTAAGAAATTACTTTAAAAAAAAAATAATTCCGGTATGAGGTACACTAATTAATGTACACTGTAAACTGATAATCGCCATCATTTGAATAGAGTATTATCAAAATACATAATGCCTTTAGGGTTTAACAATTAAAACAATGTTTTGTTTTGAAAGGGCTCAAAAACCAGTACCTTTTTCCTGAATGTGTTTATAAAACATTACAAGAGCTGGTCAAGTTTGAGCTAACCATGACAATTCCAAGAGGTATAGAAGACAGGCATTCTACTATTAGCAGAGCAAAATGTACATATTGCCAAAACCTTTTTTTATCAAGTTTGTCAGTGCATTTAATTTTTTTATAAGGTTTACTAGATCTAAACAGTCTATGTCAAATCACACAAAAAGTGCATACTGTATATACATGTTTTTATCTTATTGGCAATTGAAAAGATTGAACTTCTCATGAATAATAAAAAGAAATTAAGTTATTTACACTGTAATAAATACAAGTATTTGAAATCTGTGTTTTGAATATCATATTTTTTAAATTAAGAATGTTAAATTTGAATTCACATTCATCAAGTTTAGTTTTGAAGGGGTGTGCATGTTCACAAGTTTTGTATTTCTATTTTTGAAAACCCACAAAAGTAATGGTAACCGTAATGCATTACCTTATTAAAATAATGATAATGTAATGCATTACTTTAAGAAATTAGAGTAATGGTAATTTTATGCCCAAATTCTTGAAGAAATGGTCATATAATGCATACCTTTACAATGTAATTCGCCCAAGCCTGATATTGACCTACTTTTTGAAAATTTAGACTTGTTTTATATTGGCCATAAAATGTGAATAAGAAAAGAAAGGTCTCTCATATTAGATATGTACATTACCTGTGACAAGGTGTTCTCGAGCATGCTATGATTTAATTTACCCCTTGACTTTAACCTTCATATTTGCCGTTATTTTTATTTTTTTTTTTCAATTTGGTGATTGCTTTTAAATGACATATGATAGGGTATTTATATTTGACAAGTGCATTAACTGTGTCAAAATGTATCCAAATGTGCTGTGATATATGACCCTGTGACCTTGACCTTCAAGTTTGACTTAATTTTCAAACTTTTTATTAGTGTTGCTAACTTTTGAATTTTCAAACATTTCATTAGTGTTGCTAGCATTCATATTTGACATGTTCATTATTTGGTAAAAGCATTTCCAAATGTACTTTTTTTTAACCCCATGACCTTGAAGTTTGACATAAATATCAAAAAATTTAACATTGTTAATAACTTTTGATTTAGAGAAGATATTGCATTTACCTTTCATATGTGCATAACCTGTTACAAGACTTTTCAAGGGAGGGGGGGGGTGCACAATTCTTTGGATTTGCTTGTTACATTTTAATTTTGAAAGTTTTGCAGTATTAAAAATACTTTTAGGTTGTAAAAGTGGAACATATGGTAATTTGTGTAACATACATTGCTCTGAAAAATGTCAAGAGAACAAATGTGACATCATAAACGGAACATGTCTAGGATGTATACCTGGACGGATGGGACAGTTCTGTCAAATACGTAAGGTATTTTTACACTGATTCAGTAGTTAACTTCATTTTCATCTGCATGCTTTCAAATCCTTTAACGTATATTTATACATGCATTTCCAGCATGTGGTAGTGGATCATATGGTCAAGACTGCAAACTTCGGTGTTCAGAACATTGTCAGGATGGTCTTACCTGTAACCAAGTGACTGGAATATGTGATAAAGGTTGTGCTTCCGGATGGACACGACCAATGTGTAATGAATGTAAGTTTTCTGAATTTATCCATGCTTACTCAGCTTTGTATTGAGATAAAATTAGTCAAAAAAATAATTTAGTACATATTTTAATGGACTCACATTTTAACTTGTTTTCATCGTTACATGTAATTCTGTCTTTGTTGACCCTCAAATTCAGCATGCAGTGATGGACATTATGGACCAAACTGTGCTTCCAACTGCAGTGGACATTGTTTAAATGGAAGCACTTGTAACAAGGAAACAGGGCATTGCGACTTAGGATGTTCACCTGGATACGTTGGAGATTTGTGTGATAGAGGTATGTATAATTTTTAAATTTGATCACCTCATACATTTCAAATATACCAGTTTCCAATATAATGATTTCGCCAAAAACGAAATATTTCTTTATGTTTGTTTCCAATAGCATGTAAACAAGGCTGGTTTGGTGACAAATGTACTCAGCGTTGTAGTGGACACTGCACCAATGAGAAAACGTGTAACAATGTAGATGGATATTGTCCTAATGGCTGTCAAAATGGCTATCTTGGGAATATGTGCAACAAATGTAATGTAGAATTTTGATATCTGTTAATTAACAAACATTTAATGCGTACATTACTTTACAGTACTTATTTCTTTTCTTTTCTACTCTATAATTACTAAATTTCAACAAATGTTTCATTAAAGCTTGCGCGGCAGGTTTCTACGGTGCAAACTGCTCCAAAAAATGCTCTCAGAATTGTAAAGAAAAATGTTATCATACCGATGGATCCTGTTCGTGTAAAATTGGTTGGATGGGTTCCCCAGATTGCACTTCAGGTAAATAAATGTTTGTGTTTTCTAAATGTATTTCTTGGGCGTTGATTTAGTTGAAATTTAGTAAAAAAAAAAAAAAAATATCAGCATCTTAATATTCGAAAAGCACTTTGATTTTTCATTCATTGCAAACATAGCATAAAATTGGAAGTTTTATTTTACTCGTTTTTATACGAACTTGGGAACCAGATTTTCGACTTTAGATATCTTTAATTCACAAGTAGTTTAAAACATCTGAATCAATAATGAATGCATGTTGTTTCTAAACTCGATATGCAGGTAGTAAATTTATTTCAAGTTTCATTATGTTCCATGGACATAAACTGAGCATAATTTTACAATTTTAGAATGCCCTCAGAATAGGTATGGTGTGGGCTGTATTGATTTCTGCAGCCCAAATTGTGCTAATGAAAGTTGTGATAGATTTAATGGAAGTTGTAAAGAAGGATGCAAAGAACAATATTTTGGAGAAAAATGTAGTGAAAGTAAGTATAGAAATATGAGGTTTTCCTGTTTATCCTCTCAAAAGCTTGAATAACGGTTATAATTACATTCAGCAGTCTTCACCGTCATGGAAATCTGATTCATGAAATATTATTAAGTAAACGCGCTTGAAGTTTTTGATAGTGCTTTACATGTATCATAACTGAGCCAATAAAAACTATGACGCATATTAAGCAAAGTATGTTTTATGATAAACGACGTTCTTGCAAAAGTGTTTAAAGCAGTGTTTTATGTCTTTTTACATTATTTTGAAGAAGAGGGAACTTTTCGCCTTCAGTCTGAAAGTACGACTGCGCAACCACTTACCATTGGTGCGGTTTTAGGGGCATTTGCCGTTGTTATCATCCTAATTGCATTGCTTGCTCTATTTATGAGGTATTTTTTTCTGAATTTTTTTGTGAAATACAGAAATAAAACAGTTAAAAGTAACTTGTAATTTGCAAGGAAAAGCATAAAGTTGCAATTATACAGATTTTTTATGGTATTTAAAATGGTTCATAAATTTTACACGTATTTGTGTCTATATTTCATAGATTACGACAAAGGATACACAAGGGAACCAGCAATGCTTCTGTATCGATACAAATGTCCACAGTAACATTCCAAAATCAACAAACTGCAGGTGCAGGTAAAACTCCTTTATTCATTTGAAGTTTATTGAAATTTTATTTATTTACAAAAAAATAATAATAAAATTGTTCTTGTAGAAAAACTTATTAATTGGACTTTCTGCCCCTCTGAAATTTGGCTTGAAAATAATATTACATTGCAAAAACCTTATAAAAATATTTCTTAATGTAAGCAAATAACAGTTACCTTGCAAATGAAATATAAGATACCGTGGAATCATCATCGTTCGTGGGGGATCAATGTTCGTGGATTTCGTGGGTAACCGTTACCCACGAATTTACATCCCCACGAACAACTATTTTGTTAACGTACTGATTAATTAGATATACCAAATAAACGAGCTGCCCACGAAATTACATATCCACGAACCAATACAATTTTGCTTGCCCACGAACATTGACCCCCTCGAATTTTAATGATTCCACAGTACACGACTTTCGATAAAATTAGTGACACTATGTTTTTTTTTAAATATTGAGCCTTTCTTTAGTCAGATAAAAATGAAAAATAGAAAAAAAAAATATGCATACATCAATAGCTATAAAGCAATATTTACAGTATACATCAAAGTTGATTTTTTCCCTTCAGAGGCAGGTAAGTTTTATATATTAAATTACAATTTCTTGTTTAGCAACAAAGAAAAGTAAAGAACGAAATAATCGTCAATTACATAATGTCGAAGAGAAAACTAAGAGAGGTCCTCCTACAAATAAAACCATTCTCACAAGGAATCTACAGGCCATCATAGCAAAAATGTCTGCTGCTGAAAACGCTGGATTCAAACACGAATACCATGTATGATAAATATGTAATATCAAAAAATATAAAGTTGTTTATTTTTATTATTTACAATTTGAAATAAAAATATATCTATGCTTTGTACATGTTAGAATCAAACAATTAAATTTTAAAAGATATATATGTTACATCTTTTAACTAATGATGATTTTGTTCATTGATGTTGTGACATGTAAGCAATATTTGAAAAACTTCGAACAATACATGTATGTATATATACTTCGATATTTTCCATGTAAAATATTTTCCTGAATTTTATAGGAAATTCCTAGAGGTGAATTGCTTCCCTGTGAAGAAGCTAAGAAACTTGAAAATAAACCTAAAAATAGATACACGACTACATTTCCATGTAAGAATTACAACTACAGTATACAGTGTTAATATAAAAACATGTTTTCCCCTTTATTTCCAAAAAAGAATAAAAATATATTGTCTTTTTCATATTGTTCTATAGATGATCACTCTCGAGTTGTATTGAAAACCGTATCTCCAAATGAAAGTGACTACGTCAATGCTAATTATATTGAGGGAAGTATAACTATAATAATAAACGTTTTAAAAACTAAAATGAATATGTACATAAATCTTTGTTGAGAAAGAGAAAAGAAAACGAATTTTCGTTGGCTTATGCTTGGGTAATGTGCCTTGTCTTGTGTTAAAACCAGTAGCGATACAATTTTTTCACCATGAAAAATTTTTTTCCCAATAAACAGATTTTAATCCCTCGTATCATAATGCTTATATATAAAGTATTTGTTTTTTTTTATCATTAATGTTTCATCTGGTATGCTTAAGATGTAATGTTTTGAAATGAATTTTTATCTTGCTAGTTAATTTTGAATGCCTTTTTATTTACAATTTTTACTTTAATAGGATACGCAGAGTAATCTAAAGTATATTGCAACTCAAGGTAACTTTATTTATGGATGAAAATATAATCACCAATAAAACTAAAACATATCTCCCTTATTGTTCTAAATTTTTAGAAATTTGCGTGATGTTGCTATTACAATATATATATAAAATCATGTTTCAGGCCCAAAACCAAAAACAGTTGTTGACTTTTGGAGGATGATGTGGCAGGAATGTGTAACCGTAATTGTTTGTCTGGCCAATCTTAAAGAAGGGACAAAGGTTTGATGATCAGTAATAAATAGTAATTTAATTACTTTTACGATTTGTCTTATGTATCGGTTTCATTGAAGTAATCTTCATTACTTCCTGTTTGTGCGTACATGTATATAGGAAAAAAAATGCTTTTTCATTTCACTTCAAGTTGTGTTATAACAGGAACTTTATGTCTGTAATGTATAAGTAAAATTCAAAGCATATTCATAAAATATAATTTGTATAAAAAAGAGCCCCTTTGAAAAAAAGGTAGCAGCTTAATAATTCTTCTCAAAAACTGTTTTTAAAAAAAATCCGTCACCTGAGTCAGTCAAATGAACTTCGTCTGCTTTGGTCTGTCATCATGCATTGTCGTTACTCCCTGAAACCTAAGGGTTTCAAAAACATAAAACAACGCTACAATCTGCAGAAATTTTCTTCCCTCTACATGGCATTTAGAAACAAACTGTTGACATGACATTAATTATCAGAAAGCACTTTACTAAAAATTGTAGATGCTATTAGCCCTGGATTTAAGACTAGGTCTCAAGAGTGTGGTTAAAATTTGCCATTCATCAAAAATGCATTACCAGTTAATCTTGCAGGCAAACTGATTGCATAATAATAATGTGTGCTTGACCTCTCAACAAAATTTCTAACATCCTTGGCATCTGTGTCGATGACGGGTTGGGTTTAATTTTGTCTTGCATTGAAAAAACACATTACATCCATAAAATTTTTCTCTTTTTATGAGAATTCATCGAGAAATCTGCTATCATGATTATTTTAAACTCTGACCCTCTATACGGTAAATTCATATCTACCTAGCTGAAGGATCAGGGCAATGAGTCAAAGTTAGTCATATATTGAAAATGTTCACATAATCATGTTCCCTTTGTCTAGTTCTTAGGTCCAAATACATGGTACTTGATATAATTAATTTTATAAAAGAATAAAATGTTTTTGAAAACATCTTTTAGTAATGTCATTAAACAGATAACCTGTTAATTATAAATAACTTCATATTTCTGAGAAAAGTAAAATTCATGGGCCTCTGATCCATAGTTCAGCCCTAGATGTCTAAATTGGTGGAATTAAAAAATATTATATTGTAGGAAGTCTTCAAAGCAAATTCTTTAAATATTTATTAGAAGCAGATTATCTTCTACAATCGTAGGTATACAAGTAACCAATTGTCAACATTTGTTTTTAAACATTTAAACAGTTTTTATATTTTGCTCATATCTTAATGTTAAAATGTTTTCTTTTATTTTATATCCATGTAGGTAATGAAGTTTATTATACAGTGTACCTAATCTTTACCCATAAATCTTTTAGTGCACTCTGATTGTATATAATATTGATCATATGATATATGATAATGATTAAAGAGCCCTAATCAAACTTTTGTTTTATCATTTAGACTTGAGACACATCTTAATCAGGTGAACATCGATGCCTATGGGCCTCTTATTATTTTGTATAACTTTGAGACCAAATATATACACACTATGGTATAACGCTTCCAGCAACTGATTCTATTTGATTTTTCCAAAATGTCAATCTATTGAAATTTAACTTAAAATATATCCTTTTTCTGAGTGAAAAGTTCCCAATAAATTAATTATCTTTAAAAGTAAATGTACTGGAAAGTACACAGGATGATTAACAAAATAAAGGTGCTCACTACATTAAATATTTATTCTTTGAAAAAAAAAATTCTAATATAAAAAGATTTAAATTTAATTTTCAGCTACTTAAGAATCTCTAGCTCTTACAGTTGTGTTAAAGATGAAAAGACTTTAAGACTTCTTTCTAGGTAGATGTAGCAGCATCTCAATTCATTAACTTTTCCAAATATTGTTATGTAGTGTATCTTGTTCTCCAAACCTACCAATTCATTTCATTCGACTTCAAAATTTCCAAAGTATTTTTTTTTTTTCGTTTTTTTTTAAAAATTAAGTTTCTATAGTGTGTAATGATTAAGTACACTTAATACGTTAATATTTTTATTTACTGATGAAATTACACTCTAGAATTTATTATAAATATTGAAGTCTTATTGTCTCTTAAATTAGAATGTTGTGACTTTTTGGGGAAACACACTAATATGTAAAAGTTACATTTAATTTCTTATATAATATCAAAACATTACATGCAAAACTTGCAGTGAGATGCGAAGACGACGAAAAGTTATCATTTGAAAAGTCCAATTAAACAATACAATTGTGAGTAAAGTAAAACACTGATCTCCGAAAAGAGGTGTGATCAGTATCAGGAGAAAATGAATGAAATTAGTTTGAAAGTAATAATGAAATTACCTTCATTAACTATGGTTAATAGTAGAAACTTTGAACGTTAGTTTTCTTTTGTATATTTTTGTTAAGGATCGCTCTAGCTGCGATAAAGTTAAGACAGAAGATCATGGTTTATGCGTCTTTAGATTGGAAAAAAAACTAATTCATTATTATTTTTTAAAATATATATTAGAATATGCCTAATATACTTGTACGAGAAATATTTAAATGTTCTAAAGTACAATTTGCTTCATTATTTCATAGGCCTTATTAGCACCATTTTGCAATTTTGATTAGTGTTTATGTCATATTTCATAGGAATTTATGGGAGATGGCTGTGGTTAATCAACATGATCTTATTTTTCTTGTAGATTAAATGCACACAATATTGGCCGAATATTAACGACAAAATGCAGCATGGTATTTATATAATAAGAAATCTGGAAGAGAAAATATACGCTAATTACACGTCAAGACGCTTCAAAGTGTACAACAGTCTGGTAAGAAGGAATTATATTAATTACAAACCTTAAGTTAGAACTATACGGACAGCGAATTGATTTTTTTTGTTTGCAGATTCCATTCGTGTACGAGTAGAAACCTTGCTGTTATTCTTTGATGTTAAATGCTTATGCTTGTAACTCTAGAGATTTTTTTTCTAATCATGCTTGACATATTTACCGAACAGAAAGAAGACTATGTACACGTTTTTCTTTATTTATTGATTTTTTCCATTTATATTTTTTTACTGCTATGTATTGAACATATATTTGTATTAATTTTAATGTACATAAAAATGCTAACAATCAAATATACAATGTGCATATTGAGAGCAAAACTTGCAGTTTACTTTCCTCTGAATCAACAAAAAATGTATTTACCGACAAATTAGTAAACGCATTCTCATAAACAGGTTATCTGGTACAAGGCCTTTCTTGGATAGGCCTACAGTTGAAATTATTTTAGCTGTTACACATGATGAAATCTAAAAAAAAAAAATCCCAAAATGATTGCAAAACACATATGCTCTAAATATAAGGAACACACTCAGAAAAAAAGAACTGAAATTATTTTTTTTAATATCGAAGCAAAAAGACAGCATCCGAAATGTGATCTTATTCAAGCAAAAGTGAAATCAACATACCTATTTGAACGGTTGTCATACTTTCTGCGATGTGACCCTCCCTTGAAGTTCTTATATAAATTCCCTCGATTGACGAATTAATTCATTGACCTCATATGCATTTATTCCCCGTATTATGGCGGGGTTTGATGCAAATAGACAAATATCCACTGTCTGCTCCATATTGCGTTATGTTGATTCAGCTTGTAGGCGTTAATATAACACAACTGGAGTAAAAGATAGCAATAATTTGAATGATCGACATCGCATCAATAATGCCCGGTCAAAAAAATGTTGTGCACGCTAACACAGGTCTTATATACTCCGTGCTGAAGGGAAAATGCCATCTTACGATAAATGCGCATGCTCATAATTATTCTTATTTGGTTTAATGTAAATAGACTCAAAACTTCCATAAAAGCATATAGATCTGCAATTCCAATTAGGTTATACTTAAAATGTGTCTTTTTCTGCATTGTTTTTTTTTGGCATTATACATGTCATCAGCTCAAAAATATGAATTTAACGTTTTCTTTCAAACAATTGTATATGTGTGCCTGTATGCAGGATTTTAAGCATTGAAAAATGTTAAATTCTTGTCTTTAGTTCATAAATTCTGGTCTGCATTCAAGATCAGAGCAGCTGAGATTATCAAATTCTATGAAACGCACAGTATGGACCAGTCTTATTATTCTATTCATTAGGCGCTAGCATATTCTTCAATATCACAGTTCCCTGTAGAGCTACCAAGCTACTACAATCTTGAAATCACCAATGCATATTAGAATTGAACATAAAAATTGAATAACATTATCAAAAGAGTAATACAGATATGAAAGAGAAAAATCGAAATAACATTATTATATGAGTAATACGTGAATGAAAAAGATGGGTGTTCGGGAGGTAATTATGATCCAAGGAATGTATAATTAATCAAAATTATTCATTTGAAAAATCAAGCTCAAGTTTTTGAATAGACTTAATACAGTTGTGTGCAACGTTTCAAAAAATGTATGACTTAAAAAGAAACATTACGGAAAGCATTAATAATTTTGCTTCTAATACCTTAGGGGCTGCATTGAAGTAAATGTCTACACTGATGAATTTATTTATTTATTTGTTTTTTTCTGTTTCAAAAATATCATGAAGATCCATGTTTTAACTAGAGTAGTCTTTCATAAAATACATTATGACATCACTCTTTCATATTTTTTTTAATAAACAACAAAAACAATTTTACAATAGCAAAGACATGTCTTTTTTTCTGTTCGGTGTGTATATGCATGTGTGTTTTCCCTTCCAACTATACTTGAAATTGAAAATGTTCTTACCCTCATATTTATTTGTCCATCTAGCTGTCTAAGTGTCTGTCCACAGAAAAAGGAGGGATGAGAATTTTGAGATGGATTTTGGAGTTTTCAGTATCTAAAAAAGTAAATGAATAATCTTTAGTGGAATTATTGAGGGGAAATTTGACCACCTGTAGCACACATCTATCAAGGATTCCTTTTTTGTTTTTATCAATAGTATATTTTATAACTGAATCTCACACAGTTACATTGTAAAAAAAAATTTAAAAAGTTATCAAATACTTAGATGGTTGGCGGAAGCATCTTTTCTTTTGGCATTAATCGTTTTATTAATGTTAATTGGCATTTATTGCCTCTGTAACTACAATTATTTGCATTAAAAAGAAGAGCATGTTTTTTTTTAAATCGTCTTAAAAAGAAAAAAAACAGCTTATCGATGTATTTACAGCTAGAAAGCTGGATTACAAGGTATCATTTGTATATGATGACAAATAGAAAGCAATTTATAAACCACGTAAAGAACCAACAGAAAAAAAAATCCACGTAACTTTCTTATTTCTTAATTGAAGGAAAGAAAAGACCGTGAGATGCTGATGTTTCACTACACAAGATGGCCAGACCATGGGGTTCCTGATCCACTAAATCTTGTTGTGTTCCATCGTCACGTGATGAAAACGTCACCACAAAATGGGAAATATACATTGGTGCACTGCAGGTTATATTGTGATATCTAATTATTGAATTTCATTTCATTTATAGGTTCTCTCTCTCTCTCTCTCACTCATCGTTTAAAAATTCGTTCTGTGAACGTGCTCTTGCGAACCTAATCCATTGTAAGACAGGAACCCGATAATGGAATATAACTATTAGCAGGGTTCTCCATCATTTCAAATTTAACTGTGACGCAAGACGTACGCGAAATTCAAAAGTCCGTGGTTTTTTCGCGACCCAATTCGAGAAGTAACCACTGAATAAATTGAAAAACACAGAGCTTTTCTGAATCACTAGATAATTTCTGTAAAATATTTTACAAATTGAAAAATTTTAATGATAACTAAAAACAATTGAGGGATATCGAATTTAACTTAAGGTAAAAGAAAAATTGAAACGTTACCGTTATATAAGTGTTTTGTGACACCCCCCCCCCCTTTTCAACACACTTACCTGCAACCTACTTATAAATAAACAATTAGAAGCTAATAGAATCTGAAATAACAAGTTTAAAGTCTGAACCTGTTTTTTTTAAATAATTTTGTTTACAAAATGTAAATTTTACACATTCAGTTTTAGGACAGAGGAATTTCTGGTTGGTCTCACAATCAGGCTTTCATCTATAACTTTGCATTTTTGGTTTCTGTTGACTAAGGTGTCTTAAAACTGGTGAATTATAAAACACATTAGCTGTTTTGAGTCATAAAATAATATTTTGATGGATTTATTATTCATTTTTCAACTTTACAGAGATACGTGATTACGATACACGTAGAATGTTTGACTCCTATTGTGAAAGCAATTTTAAGGACGTGGTTATTTTTAGAAAACCTAAGTAGTTTTAAAAATCAGAATTAAAAAAATCATTAGCAATTACCGAGAAGTGCGAAATGAATGCTTTGTCTTTTTTCATTCATGCGTAAATTCCAACGAGTCCTAGAAGATAATTGATTGTGCAAGCCAAACTATGGACCTTAATTAGAGTAAAATAGCGGTTAAGCATAAGATAAGCAGTTTGTAATTTGGAGATTCATTTTTAAGTTTATGAATTTATTCATTATTCTCATGATTAACTGTGACGATCTCAATGTGGTGCTACATGTAATATCCAACTGTGGCGGAAGTATGCGCTGATTTTTTTTACTGTGTCGCTAGAAAATTTAACTGTAGCGGGGCAACCATGTTAAATTGCCCATTGATATTCCTGTTTTTAGACAGGAAAAGCTATTAATGATCTGATGCCACCCAATTTGTTGTATAGTTGTTGGTCATTAACGTCTAGAGTCCGTAAAGCATCCACTTGAGTATGAAACCGGTGTCACAGACCCCAAAGCGTTTCTTTTTATTTGAGGTTCACTGGGATATATCGGATTGACATATTTAAAAAATCTATTATTAACTGACAAAACGTCGTCCATATAATGGAATGATGAATTGAAAGTAACAGTAACACTTTTCTTCTACATCTCATGTAGAAGGTTTTGAATAAGTTCTGATTAATACCAATAGAAGAACAAGTCGGATGATAAAGGAGCAAAATGAGTGCGCATATTATATATTCCACCTTCTCCAAGAACTTCATAGATATTTTCAGAGAAGGATTACGCTAAGGAAGAACGTAAACATAAAAAGATAATTGAACTCTAAATTGGCCTCTCAGAAACCAAATTTCGGATGAAACCGTATAAACCGAGGTCCCGTGTCGCAGTGGGTGCTGGCACGAAAAATATGCCTTACTGCTCAATGGCCCTGAGTGCCGAGCAAAGGTCAAAATTTGCAGCTCTCCACCGGCAAGTGGTGGTGTCTCCGTATGAATGAAATCTCGAGGGGTGACGTTAAACAACAAACAAGCAGAAACCAAATTTGCAAAATATAGAGACATTACTGTTCTACTGGTAATTAGTAAAGAGATGTTCCGTTCATACAGCAAAATAAGTTGATACAATCTTAGAGATGGGCCTTAAGGTAATTTTTTTCATAGGGTCTAAATCAAAAACTCAAAGCGTCAAATTCCTACTTGTTCTTCTTGCAGGGGAAGATGATCGAACTATGTTTCAAAATCTTGGATAAAAGTCAAATTAAATAAAACTGGAAGTTAAAATTCATGTATGTCATTCAAATCGAAAAGCATTACCTTAAATAAATGTTGAGAAGTTCACTCTTATGCATATCTACTCATGAGCAAATCTGCTTCAGAGTGCAAAAGTATTACGCATTTTTGTGTGATTTTCTTTCCACTATGAGTAAATCCATATATTATCTACTGTTCTATTATTTATTTACTATGATTCCAAAAGAATGGTTTCATACTTCATGAAGAAAGGGGATTCCTTCAAATGTATAGGGCAATTTGATTACAATGCTTATAATTACAATTGGGCTTATAATTATAACAAAGGCCACAAGTGGTTCTAAGTGATGTGCTTGAAAAAAAAAAATGATTAAAATATGGTTGAAGAAATTAAGAATTGAAGAAGAGACTGATCTTTTCATCAGAAGAAGGTTCTGTAAAATGCTTTATCAAGAAAAGCATAGATTGACCTCTTAGCAGGCTTTGTTTGCTTTCACACAGCATTTCCTTTCCCATATGAATATTCAATGTTGCACCTGGCCCTGACTTGGTGTAAATATGCTTACAGGTGTATTTTTTGCATATATGCAAGTGCGTTTATACAGCAAGATAGCCAAATAAGTATATTAAAATACATATGCTAATTATTACATATGAGTAAAGACCGACATAATAACAAGGCTTAAGTATCTCATGATGAAGTGACGAGTCTTGGTCCTACCCAAAGGTCAAGTATTCGAAAGGTCAGTGTGATCGAGATTGGACCTAAAATAGAATGTTTTGTTTTAAGATAAGTAGAACGAATTACAATAGGACGCCGATGTGGTAACTTTGTATTACACAAGCATACCTTGCTAATATACATCATCGTATTAGTTATGTACTCAAAGACGTCTAAAAAATACACGGAATGCTGTACACTATTTTATGATTGTTTACAAGACCTCAATGTATCTAATTCTTGCATGAGAGCGCTAATTCGACAAAAAATTGCATATTTGATACAGTAGAAAACTGGAGCTACATGTACGTATTCCTTTGTAATTTTATTTATATCTTCTTCGCCATCTTTTAATTTTGTACAGCTTATAGTTAAGATACAATCAATTAATTAGGTGTGTTTAATTTGGAAGGGAAAGACATCATACTAAATCATTTTAATAAAAGTATTGCAGAAAATTATATAAAACATAAAGAGCAAAGCTATTTTTTAAAAGCTATTCTTAAATTCAAACATATTTAGAACTATATTCAGTCCTTTTTATTACTACAGTAAAACTATAAACAGCACACACGAGTATTGCGAAGTCAGCTTATTAAAAACTGACGATATTCATCGAATAGTAGAAGCAACGCAATATTACTTTTTTAAAACTGGATATAACGATTTATTTTTATATGTTGGAATGCAATCTTAAAAATCCCTGACAAATTTTTTTACTGTATTTTATTCAATATCTCACAGTATTTACTATACACCTATTTTTGCAAAAGTAATGCTTTGAGCAAAAGATATTCTATTGAAATTCTCAACCAATCAGCGTTCGCCTTATTTATTAGTATTCAGGCACATGCGCGTTATATATCGGATTATTCTATGGTAAATGTGACACAAAAAGGCGAGCCAACCAGTAGTATTTATCAAATCAGACCAGTGCCGGACTAGTTCTGTGTGAAAAAATGCAAATTCTCCAAGGAGAGAAAAAATGACTTGTACTTGAAAATTGCATTAACATTGCTAAGCATATCTATCTTTGAAAATTTATCTAAAAAAACATGAATATTTTATTGCATATTTCAAGGTTCACTTTTTAATCATGTATTTTCTTCCTAATGAATCTACTGAAAATTTTACGCCATACACACTGTTTGTCACCAAGTAAAATTGTTAATTTTAGAATAGTACAATGAAGTGATCTATCTCTACAAATATCGGAGATGTCATTTTGATTCTAATCATATATTTCGAATTATACTCATGTTCATTCCAAAGCTTGGATCACTAAGCAAATTTTATAATAAAATAGATGGAATTGAATTCAATTGCTGGTATATTTAACATTCAATAGATTAATTAATTTCATATTGACATTTTCTGGTTTTAATTTGATGAAAGAAAATTAAACTTTTTAAGGCTGAAGAACTGTTGAAGATCTGTATTCCTCTTTCGTTTTGCTTTTAAAATTTGTCTCTCTACTACATTAAGTACATAGTGAATACAATATTTTTCTACGTAAACAAAAGGCTGGTTTCATATTGCACATTACCGTTCGTTGCTTATTTTAAGTCCAAGAGCCCTTTATGCAAAAAAAGAGTTAAATATATAATGACTTTTTAAACATAGTCTATCGCTGGGTTTTATGGGGTTTTTTTCTGGAAGGTTTTACAACAATTGTTATTTCATTGTTTTATGCTAAATGAAAATATGGAATACGTTGTCGTTCTAATCAAAACGAAAGGTTCACGACGAATATGACCGGCTTACGGGGGATAATTACTCCCCTTTGGCACCTCATCCCAGCTCTGATGTTTTCTTGGTGTCAGTACCCTGATCACTATTTGTAGTCTTTACTGTATTTTCTATATTGATGCTGTTCTTAATCTTCACCTTTAATGTTAAACAAAAAAAGAACCATTGGAAAGTGATTTTGATGTAGCTTTAATGTAATATTCGCATGATGTACTTTTTATAGTGCTGGAATTGGAAGAACCGGAACATACATAGCTTTAGACGCCCTCTATCGAGAAGGGGAGAGAAATGGCTGTGTTAATGTACCAATGTATGTCAGGACCATGAGAAAAGACAGAATGAACATGATACAAGGCGATGTATGTTTATGCTTTTCCCCCTTGAATTTCATTTGAAAACGAGACGGCTTTAAATTTGTAATTTACATTTTTTTTTTTTTTTTTTTTTTTTTTTTTTTTTTTTTTTTTTTTTTTTTTACAAATTTAAAAGTCCCAGTCTCATATAAAATTTGATATAAAAAAAAAATGGTAATCATTTCTGAAGATCATTTTTAAGTTGTTACTGCCATTAGATTTCCCGTCAACAATTTTATTGATAATTTAGCGTAAACAATTAAAAATTAAGAGACGCTTCTATGGTTGTTTTAACTTCCTGTACATGCAGTGATATGTACAATACTTTCCGCATACTATATCTAATCACAACAGGGAGGTAATATTTTTCTTCTTATATGACATGATTAAGCCTCTTGTAAACAAAAAGCTTTTTTTACATAAACGTATTATGTAATATTTTTTTCAAATAGTTTAAAACAGATTGAAGTAATATTTCCCTTTAATTCACTTGTCATAATGAGTAGTAAACGTAACTAGCTAGAAAGATTTCCTTATACTAGCCAGATAAAATTCTTATGTTGAATTTCCTCTAAAACCCTTCCTCAATTGAATAAAAAAAGAGTTAAAGGTTAATAATCTTTTCCAATCGTATCCTTCTAAACATGCAAAGAACCTTCCGTGTGTTAACTGTTCAAACATGTCCTTGTTGGTAAAGCTGTCTCGAAAGAAGAATTACACCATTCTTTTTTTAATGTCTTGGCAGCAATAATTTTTTTAAAAAGATAATCCCATTTTAAAACTTAATTTAAGAAGAAAGGATAGTTTATACAAAAACGTTATTTTTTAGAAGTTGATTTTTTTAAGGAAAGACAATCTGTACGTTCTTTTGCCTTAGTTAACAACTCTGTGTAAATGGTATATGACCTACATTAGAATCCTAAAAAAAATCATATACTTTTTTCATATAAGAATCAGTAAGCTGCATCCCGCAGCATATCGGAAGCAAATGTAGTTCTTCTAACGAATTACAAGTAGTCAAATCCTTTGTCAACAGGTTTTTTTGTAAAATAAGTATTTTAGTAAACATTTAAAGTATACAAAAAAGGTCTAGAAAAGACACAGAACTATAATGTTAGTAATGCCTGTAAACGAAACAAATTATGGTGTTAATGAGTTAGATTTTCTATGCTGAAATGCAATATACCATTTTTTTTTTTTTTTTTTTTTTTTTTTTTTTGCCATTTCCAGTCTTAATGCTATTTTAATTTTTAATTACCATTTGCTCTCAATAGGTAAATAAGCATAGGATCAGTATATTTAGTAAACTAAATATGTTATGATGCATGGTAAAATTGATATTTACAAAAAAAAAACATTCAAGATATTAAGAAACAAGAAGCCCAGGGGCCACTTCGCTCACCTGAGCACTCTGGCTAGGAAAAAGCAGAAATCAGTCCAGTCTTGAAAAGTTTAAATATAAAAGTGGTTGGAAAGGGGGGGGGGTGATTTGAACTAACTTGAATCTATACTTCATAGGGATGCTTTTGAATTAGTATGACCAATAATGACTTTCCGTTGTTAAGAAGAAATTTTTTATTGATAAATCCTTTGTATAACTATGATTATGGCTCTCTATTCTCCTGAGGGTTCATCATATGAAGAAATTTGATTTTACATTACCTGAGGATACTTCCATTTTAATATGACTAATCATGGCTTTGCTGTTCTTGAGAAGAAGATTTTTAAAGAATTTTTTCCTAAGTATTTCTATGTAAAACTGATCGCCCATTGTGGCTCAACCTACCCACTGGGGTCATGATTTTAACAAACTTGAATCTACACTACCTGAGTATGCTTTCATATAAATATGACTAATCATGGGATTGCTGTTCTTGAAAAGAAGATTTTTAAAGATTTTTTCCTATGTATTCCTATGTAAAACTTTGATCGCCCATTGTGGCCCCACCCAACCCCTTGTGGTCATGATTTTAACAAACTTGATTCTACACTACCTGAGGATGCTTCAATATAAGTTTTATATTTTCAAGCAAAGTGTTTCTTGAGAAGATGTTTAAATGATGCCATTAATTTTTCACAAATTCATAATTTTCTTCCCTTGGAAGAAGGCGTGGCCCTTCATTTGAACAAACTTGAATCCCCTTTTCACAACGATACTTTGTGGAAAGTTTGGTTGAAATTGGCCCAGTGGTTCCTGAAAAGAAGATGAAATTGTGAAAAAGTTAACGACAACGCCAACGATGCCGACAACGACAGACAACGAACAAATTTTGATCAGAATAGCTCACTTGAGCCTTCGGCTCTGGTGAGCTTAAAGACGGGAAAAATGTCAATGAATTGGAACATTCAATTTAATATTTCCTCTCTTATATTTATCGAAAAAATGCTATTATTGTCCACCTTTTTTCACAGAAGGGCAAGAAAACCTTATAGTTTCATAAACAGTCATTTTATTTCATTGGCCGGGTGTTATTTAAGAAATAAGGAATCATTTTTAAACATCTATCGGAATAAAAATACGGGTTGGTCGCGTGATCAAATTCCATAAAGCCCGAAGGGCTTTATGGTAAATTTGATCAGTACCAACCCGTTTTTATATCCCGATAGATGTTTTAAAATGATACCTTTTTACTTGTATTTACATTTGTGACTTCTTTATAATATATATTTGCCAGAGGATAATCTTTAACGCATGCATGTTTTATTTTTCAAAACTCGACGCCATAAGTTTGATCCATTGAATGTGCGTCAACCCTTTATGAGTCACTGAGAAATTACGTCAAACATTTATGACCTGAGGAGCTTTTGTTTATACAGATACGCGTTGCTTAAATAGTGTTATATAAAAAAAATTGCAAATGTTAATATTTCAAAATACAGAATGGTACCTCATGAAAAAGAAACAGCATTTATGGGTGATATTGTATGGCAAGAGACCCAATTACCTGACAAGGGCTGATATCATTAAAAGCGAAATAGTGTATGCTCGCGCTGTTCACCATAGATTTTTAAATTTACATGTTAGTTTAGTTGAGTATAACAGGATTTTAAAATGTTTATGTTTACATGAAAGATTAGATTTTATTCTTCATTATAAAATTACAACTTCTTTTCCATCAGGACCAGTACAGAGTCGTTTATCTCGCCTTGTGTGAATCGTTCAGTGGTAGATCCAAATGTTTGACAGCTGAGAAACTCTCACAACAATCGCAAGATAGATCCTGCTACACAAATTGTGGGGAAGTTACACATGCAACTTCCTTGTCGTCAGAGTTCCAGGTAGATTTATCGTTACTTAGCAAAACACAATGCACCGTTTCTTCATTTTGTAATCAAATCAAAAATAATTAATATGATTAATATACGGTATTACCTATCGAAATGATTCACAATTTAATAATAGTTGTATTTCTTCACATCCAACTTTAGATGATATCAGTAATCATAAAAAAAATCAATGTAGAAATCTGTCATAAGTAAAATTTACTTTAATTTAGTTGTACAGTGAGTACACGAGTTTATTCCTAATTTTGTAGACTCTACAGTCTCTTCGGATAAAATATGCAGAGAAGGATTACGAATCTGGACATACAAACATATCAGCCAATTATACAGAGAGTGTTTTGCCGGGTAATCTTTAATATTCTCTACATCAATTTCTAATTCCATGTATTTTCGTCATATTGGAATTTCTGTAGCAATATCTAGATGGAAGAAAAATAGTAAAATTTATAATCTTTGTAAATTTCTTGAGTTTTTTGTACAATCGACTAAAAATGCAGAGGTCGATATGCAGGACATAAAATTCTTTTCTTTCTTTCTTTTTTTTACATCAATTCTTTGTTGTCTAGTACATGGTGTAGGTCGAAATATTTGAATAAAGAACATCCTGCAAATAATTAACATTGTAAATTTCTTCAAACTTTTCCTAAATATTTTAACCATTTTAAAACACGGATTTCAGTGGAAAAGTTCATGTGCTATCTGTCCTATACAAAGGGAAGGAACAACTACTACAACTCTGTTCTTCTACAGGTCTGATATTTATAAGTATACCATGATAATATCCTAAAGTGTAATGCTTTCCTAGTAACATGATTTAAAATTATGTCTTCCATATGCATTGAATGGTTTATCTAAAAGATGAGACGAAAGATTTCTCACTTAAAGAGGGTAATGATTCCTCAATATGTGCTTATTAAACGATAAATATAACGGATTTTTGTACACATATAAAATAATTTTTAATTTTTTAAATATTAAATCCAGCTTAATTTGTTCTCTGTGATTACTCATGATCATGAATATACTCGTTCTTAAAAAAAGGACTTTTTTTCTAGTCTTTCACTGAAAATGACTGTCTAATCAGCGCTCAGTACCCACTTCCTGACTACACTGAAGACCTTTTGAGACTCATGAGAGATTTTGATGCTCGTGTTGTGGTTTTCCTAGGTCCTTTGAAAGAAATAAAATCTGTAAGATAAACATATCTGTAATTGAAAGAAGTAGTAAGAAAATAATATAAGTACTTTTGATTTAAGAGATGAATTTAATTTTTTGAGAATTCATGAGGACATGAACTACGACGCTTCACGCCGGCATATTTCATGAAGCGCGTTAATGCTTCATGTTAAATATGCAGGCGTGAAGCATTGTAGTTCATGTACCTCAGGAATTCTCAAAATTTAAATTTATATCTTACATTTTCATTATATTTCTGATGACTTGACACACATTTTTGTCATTCAACGATCATTTTTGAAAAAAAAAATGCACTTTTTTTTTACTCCAATCACATCACAATGGAAATATTCTTACTCATCCCATGGTAACTCATGAGAACATGAACTTTTTCTTATTTGCAAAGAATCTTAAGGAAAAATGTATGGAAATGTAAATATTTTGATATTAAAGTACAGTAGATACAAAAGCTTAAGAAAACCTGTAAGTGATATCATTTCACCAAAAACGGATTGCATGTAATCTCCTGACATTCTTGCTTAAAACAATCAAATAAAATTTCTTTCATTTTTTTTTTCCAGTCATCCCTTTGGGTTCCATCAAAATCCGAAAATAAAACAGTGGGCAGTTTTGTACTTAATCTAGCAACATCAACAAATTCGATAAACTTTACAACCCGGAATATAGTTTTGCAGCCAAAGGTTTGTTCTGTTTATATATCATAGTTCTTTCTTACTTTGTATACGAAAGGTCATATGTTACATGAAACACAATTTCAATGTTGTAGGGAGGCAGCGACATGACACTAACTGTAATGGAATGCAAGACCTGGAAAGAGGGAAGGTTTCTTACCGACAAAAGAGTCTTACTTGACGTGGTCAAAGAGGCAAAATCAGAGAAAGATAAGCAAGAGGGAAAAATACTTGTTTTGTCCAGGTAGGTCTCAGTTCTGTGTATCTTCTGACAATTGTTTCATTATATTCTGATGAAAATCTATCCATGATACATGTATCAGTGACATTTTGACGTTATACACTGTAGCAATGAATTCCAGCTTTGTTTTATTGACGTCAATATGGTAATCAGCTTGCACAGAGAATGTCTTTACATTAAAGTAATTTTCAAAACGCTTTGCAAACGCACATGAATTTTTTGTTAATATTTTTTTTTCATGTTCTTCATTACATTTATCTGCTAGTGATGGAGCCACACGTTGTGGAGCATTTGCTGTTGTCTATAACGCTCTGGAACAACTCTCGATGGATAAGGAAGTGGACATCTTCACCATCACACGACAACTTCAGATACGTAGACCGGAGTTTGTATCTACTTTGGTGGGTGCTTTTACACTCGAAGTACGCGTTAGATTGAACCGTAGATTATTGTGATCTTTTCAAACCTTTACAATATTTTCCTCCTGCATTTTACTTGCGTTATTTATCTCGAATGCAAGGTTCAATCATTAAATGCTTGATAACATGTTTTGATTTTGAATATGCATATCATTTATGGTAATCCCATACTGAATAATTTTTTTTTAGATGTAACATTTTATTTTCTGTTTTTAGGAGGAGTACCAGCTTTGTTATGATGTCGTTGCAGAATACATGCAGAATGACAGTGTTTACGCGAATTGCTAGACAAAGGGAGGAAACTTTCATAACTTAGCACATAATATCTTTAACATTCAATGTTTTTTAATCATACGGTGAACCTTTGTGATTAATGTAAAAACTTTTGACTTATGAAATCATAAGAAACAATATATATTCACTAATTTTTCGAGACTTTTTCATTAAAGTTATAAGCTTCTATGAACTGCTTTTTAATGAGTTTTGTTTTTTATTCAGTTTTAATTATTTACTGTATCACTTTGTCTTTCGGAGTTTTGTTAAAATAACATTAATTTTGTGAAATATTTTTTTAATGTTTTTGTCTTATTTCAATTGTCATTATAATCAATTGTAAACGTGTAATTTTTCAGTTTGTAATATGTAACACATCATCTACGTTATATTTGTTGTGTAATGTAATCACTTAATATAGGTTTCTAACACTCATCATGAAATACCTAGGTGGCAATTAACAGAATATGTTTCTCCAATCAAGCTTATTTTTTAAATACTAATTATCTGTTTCATGTTTATTGTTCAACTTGTAATTTTGTTTTTGCCGTATATACATAAAACATGTTTTCATTAATTTTGTTTCTGTATTTTCTTTCTTTGTTTGTTGTTGCTTAATGTCCCTCTCGAGAATTTTTCACTTATATGGAGACGCCACAAATTGCCTGTGGAAAGCTGCAAATTTTGAGTTTCTATATTTTGTTATTTTGTCGCTTTACATGTATGTTTTACTCAAGACAAATTTTCACGTGAACTATTCAGTTAAACAATTATGCATCTCCCATCTGTCTGACTTTTGTTAACTTTTCAGATTTTCGACTTCTCTAGAGACAGTGAGTAAACATTTAGGAGATTTGCATCCAAATATCTTTTCATGAGGGAAATTTAATTTTTTGATAATAGCCATCCCTCTTCAGAGGAGAGAAAATAAAAAAAAAATAAAAAAAGGAGTGTTGGTGTATTACAAAATTTCCTCAAGATCCACTAGATAAGGAAAGGTAAAGTATATGTGGAAACCCCATACTGAGAGTAAATTTAAATTGGTTCAAACCAAGATTCCATAGCTAGAGTGAGGCAAACTAGGGGAATGCAACTTTACATAAGAATATTTATGAAAAAAATATTTTTTTTTTCAAGATCAACAGGGTCGTGATTAGTAATATCAAAATTATTAAGTACTATTTCTCCTCCGTGTCTTCAGGAATATTAAATTTCTTCTGAAAGTATTCTGCAGAGCTGGTCTCTTCATAGCTTTACACGCACTGTTGGTCATAGGTTTCTGAATACGGGAAAACCAACTATGACGTCACAGTTCACCGACTCTAAAATCACATACTTTCGTGGGATCAAATTTTCGTGGTTTAAGGACAAAATAATGGTTCCCCTGGATCTGATTGCGTGGCCAAGGGATTGCTTAGTTGTTATATGTTTGAAATTATACTTTTTGTGGAGGAAAAGAATTCGTATGTCTCTTCATACCTCGAAAACAACGGAAATTAACCCCCCCCCCCCAACGAAAATAAGTGATTCCATTATATTTCCATTTCTTATTGTTTTCTCTGTGATAACTCTTTTAATGTTAGTTGAGTTGATTTCTTGATAATTCTTCCGGAATGCAAATTTGGCCAAGCGAAAGGTCAGGAGCTAAGAAGGCCTAATATGCATGTAATTCTCGTGCGGTTGTCTTTGTGTCTAACGCTAAGGAGCACTCGACACACCTCGGCCGATTCGTACCTCATCTAACCTCGGCTGTATCATGTAAACCTCCATAGAATCGGAGCTACTTTATACGCAATATGGCTGCGCCATAAAATAACACTTGCACAGTGTGCTGAATTCGATCCGTTAACAAATATGTGATTATGTAAAGATACTAGGTGCATGTTTCTTGGTAAGTGTTATTGTTAGTGTTACCTAAATGCTTTTGAAAATTTTTATTGTATGACAGATGCATGTTTATTATCGTTTTCAAAGCGTTACGTTTTCCCCAAGCGGTAAACAGGCAGCCTTATCACAAATGTTAAGCGGAGACGTATATCAAGTTTCCTCGTACAGCCGAGGTTTGATGAAGGTGACGGAATCAGCCGAGGTTTGTCGAATGGCTAAGGAGGTCTAATGTGCATGTAAATCTGTCTTTGTTTTTGACGTCAGTGGGCGGGGGCTATTGAAATTGACATGTGAGACCTCCTTTTATTTAAATCTATTAGTCTATATTTTTAAAATCTAAATTTACAATTTTATTTCACATTGAAATGGAAATATAAGGAATCACTGTCTAGTTAGTAGAGTATGCCAGGGACATCAACGATAGTTGGAAACGTGGGATAATTTATGCATAAAGGGCTTCGCAAATTATCCAATGTTTCCAACCTTCGTTGATGCCCTGGCATACTCTACTTACTAGACAGTGATTCCTCAAGTACCCTAAACAGTAAAATAGACATGTATCTACATAAAACTTCTGATATCAAACATTAAAAAATACTGTGTTCCCTGTTTTACTAAATACCTCACCATACGTTGATTATTACCTGTTTTAACGTAATAATACTGTTCGTGTATTCACCTTGCATGCTCTTGCTGTACTAACAGATAGTGTATGACGTCACCGACTTGTTGAACGCGAAGAATAGGAAAACAGAGGGTTGGACTATTTTTCATAAGAAAAAGTAATGTTTATCGCAAATCAGCGCATAAAACTGACCTCCGAATGAATCCATTTTCGAAAGCATTTCATTTTTTTTTTTTTTTTTAAAAGAAAATCTGAAATTATTAGAGGATCAACAACTTTTTGTGAATAATTAGATGTAAATATTCTTATCATTCTTTAAAATCCTTTATTATCGCTTCGCTATTTGTGGCTTTACGTAGGAATACATTATATTGTTTTCAGAATGACCCATTAACTAAACATTGTTTATGAGAATAATGTATACAAAATACATTAATGATATGGACAAATAAAAACAACATTCAATAATTATAATTCAAGGCTTTATAAATGATGTCATTTTAGCTTTGTATTTTAATACACTGATAACTTACTGTCAAATAACAAGGAGGGCCGCCATGATAGTTACTTATTTTATAATAGAACAACTAACATACTAAACAAATACGGATAAATTCCGGATATAAAATAAACACATCTTAGTATGTGACATCCCTCTTTTTCTAAATTGACAAGCATTCTGAGAGTATTGGATTAGCAATACTAGTCCCCTATAACTACCGGCAAGTGTACATGTAATCTGGTTCTCACTAAAAATTGAAAATGCCATAATTCCTTCAAAAATGAAGTGGAACGAAATGCAAACTTGAACTATAACTCATCAAGGTAAAGTCACACACCAAAAATCAGCTCAATATCTGCAAGCGTTTAGAAAAAAAAAATTGCGGAAAACCCTGAAAAATTGAAATGGTCGTAATTCCGTCAAAAATCAATGAGGGGAACGAAATGCAAACTTGATCTCTAACTCATCAAGATACACTCACATACCAAAAATCAGCTCAATATCTGCAAGCGTTTAGAAAAAAACCCAAGTGGGACAGACTGACAAACAGACAGAGGGACAGACAGACGGACGGACGGACAGACTCAGAAGAAACCTATAGTCCCCTCCGGTTTCACCGGTAGGGGACTAAAAATTATAATGCGTTAATTAAATCTTAGGAGAAGATAGCAAAAATGAATGATGGTATTTAGAAAAAATATGGACATAACAGTTGCCTTGTTCAAATTAAATAAAAAAAAAAATGAAAATTGACTAGAGGTTACAAATGACTAGAAAATTATGTACGAAATTTACATAATAATAAAATTCCTACAGCTCTCTTTTCTCAACAATACAAAGAATTAACCAAGTCATTCAACATAATCATTTAGCCTTTTTGTTGGCTTAACGTCTCTGCCAGAGCACGTACAATGGGGTGGTACGGGTTGGCTGTTCGTTTTGGTAGTGTTACGGATGTCTACGTCACGCTCATCTAAATGACCATGTAAAGTTTCAGGATTAACACGGAAATATTCAATGCGGTTATCATTTCCATTAGGCAGAGTTTGAAAAGCACGATAGCGAGTTGTCCGTAAATGTTTTCGGTTTCGTCTCAACTTCCTTTCCCTCTGATGCTTGAACAACATACGATCTAGGTGAAGAGTGACGTTCGAGAACTTGTCCAGGTTTCCAACTTCCTACTGTGTATATGAATACCGGGTCGACAGCTCTAAGAGGTTCTAATCCTTGTCCTGCGAGTTTGTCATGATGGATCTTGGTTTTCAGTTGACGATTTTTTTAGCATCTATTTGATTTCTTTGGCGTCAATTCCAAGTGACTTTATAATTGTGCAGAGATTGGTAGGGATTTTTCAGTCGCCGGTTAAGGAAAAATTGTGCTGGTGATCATCCAATGTCCAAAGGAGTGTTTCGATAGTCCAGTAGAGCTTTGAATGGGTCTGTAGACTTCATGATGAGCCTTTTCACTGTCTGTACCATCAGTTCTGCCTGGCCATTTGATTGGGCAAAGTGTGGACCGCTTGTGACATGTTTGAATCCAAACTACGTCGAGAAAGCTTTGAAATCCATAGATGAGAAGTGGGACCGGTTATCGGATATTATTTCATCAATGAACCTGTATCTTGAAATAAGTCCTTTCAAGCAGGAGATACATGTAGTTGGTTTGCTCGATAAGTTGGCTAGCTTTATTACTTCAGGCCATTTCGAGTAGTCAACAACAAGCAGGTAATGGTGATTTTCATATTCAAACAGATCAGAAGCAATTTTTTGACTAAGGTCGGTCAGGTATGTCAGGTACCAGCATATGCTCCTTGGCATTGATATTCTGATGTTGTGCGCATAGTCCACAAGACTTGACACGGTCCTCAATGTCCACTGACATCCCTATCCAGAATAGAACATCTCGAGCACGAGCTTTGCATTTGACTATGCCAAGATGTGATTCGTGAATTGTATCCAGCATTGCATTCTGGAGTGATTTTTGTACAATTAGTTTACTTAACTTGTAAAGAAGTCCATCCATGACAGATATATCATCTCTAAATGTCCAAAAAGGTCTTAACTTGTGGGAAACATCACTTTTCTCCTTCGGCCATCCATCCAATATGGCGTCTTGTAGATCCTGAAGATGATCATCCTTTTGAGGTTTCCTTCTGGGATTTTTCATATATATCCTGGGATATCGGTAAATGAGAAATGAGATGAATCTTATTAACGTTGATATCAGGTACGAGTACTTTTTTGGTCTCAGGTAAGAACGATCTGCTAAGATGGTCCGCCAGAAACATATTCTTTCCAGGTTTGTATCTCGCTTTAAGATCATATTTTTCTAGTGAGATCAGGAGTCGTTGAAGTCTCGGTGGTGTCTAATGCAGTGGTTTGTGACAAATTGACTGCAAAGGTTTGTGGTCAGTTTCTATGAGCACTTGCCGTCCATAAACATATTTGTGAAATTTGTTGCATATATACACGATAGCAAGCGTTTCCTTCTCGATTTGAGAGTATTTCTGTTGTGTTGGTGTTAAAGCTCTTGACGCATAAGCAACTGGTCTGTGGTTTTGTATCAGTATGGCTCCTTTTCCTTTAGAGCTAGCATCAACACTTAGGGTAAGAGGCTTGTTTTGGTCATAGTACTGTAAAATCGGTGCATTGCAAGCCATCTCCTTTAGCTTCTTAAAGCTGGTTTCTTTTTATTCATCCCAATGCCAATCAATGTCTTTTTCGAGCAATGCTCTAAGTGGTGCGCTGACTGAAGATAACTGAAGCAAGAACTTGCTCAGGTATTAAATAAAACCTATGAAAGTTTGGAGTTCCTTCAGACAGGTAGGTTTTAACATGTTGTTGACAGCTCGGACTTTTTCTGGGTCAGGTTTGATTCCTTTAGCTGTAAGTCGGCGTCCAACTTAAGTGACTTCTGATTTTCTAAACTCACATTTTTTGCACTGAGTTTCAGGTTGTACTATTTTGCTCTCTCCAGAACTTTCTTAAGTCTTGTGTCATGCTCTTATTGATTGGTTCCCCACGCCAGAATGTCATCAATGATTGCTTCTGCTCCGTCAATATTAGAAACCATTTTCGAGATTACTTTCTGAAAAACTTCTGGCGCAGACTTGATTCCATAAGGTAAACGTGTAAATCTATATCTGCCAAAGGAAGTGTTAAATGTACATAATTTTGAGCTATTTTCATCCAGTCTCAGCTGCCAGAATCCACTAGTAGCGTTGAGTTTCGAAAATACTTTTTTTGCGTTTGGCATCTGTGATATAACTTCCTCCACAGTTTTCAGTGGATAGTGTTCAAGAAGGATTGCCTTGTTCAGTTCTCTTGGGTCGATGCAAATTCTGATTTTGCCATTCGGTTTAATGACAGTGACCATCGAGTTCGCCCAGTCGGTAGGTTCTTCTTGCTTGACCACAACACCCAGTTCAGTCATGCGATTTAGCTCTGCCTTGACTTTGTCCTCGATAGCAATAGGAATTTTCCTGGGATAGTGTTTCCTCGTATAGTGTGCATACATGTACCAAGTAAGCAACCTAGGCCTTTGAACAGATGTCCATAGCTCTTGACTATGTAATCTGGAAGTAGTTCACTAGGGATCATGTTGTGAATGCCTTGTAACATTTGCATTTCCTGACAGGTTTAAGCTCCTAGAATAGCTTGCACATCACTTTTGACTATGTAAAGGTTCACACTAAAGTTTTGACCTCTATAACGACAGGTAAGAGAAGTGACACCATAGGTTTTATGAGATGTCCGGAAAAAGATCTCAGTGGAACTTCCTGTTTCTCGATCTGTGCTTCAGGACATATAGCCTTTAATGTTGATGTAGAGATGACATTGCACTTGGCACTGGTGTTCAATTGAAACTTCACAGGAACGTTATAGACCTGAATTGTTTCCGTCCACTCATCTACCGTAAGGGAGTTTACTGTTTCTTGTGTAGCAATATAGAGTTCAGAATCCCTTTCTGAGTTAGTGTCAGTGTAATAGGGTGATATTTTCAATATATTTATGATTAATAAATGATACTAAAGGTATATTGTGTTTCTTGTTGTTTTATGAGTATTTCACTTGATCATCATCTACATCATCATCATTTTGTATATATTTAGTTGAAACACAATTGGATACACATTCCTGTATTGCCCTATTCTCCCTTGGTTCTTTTATTGTGCTATTCATTGATCATTAGTTGACTTCTTCAATTAATGACTTTTTGGTATTTAATGCCTATGGCTATTTTACCTAGGTGGTCATTTTCAGACATGTGATACATGTCATGTGGTTTGAAGAACCAATAGATTTACTATATATATTTTCCCACTTTTGGTGAACTGCCTTTGTTCATTAGAAAGTTAGATTCCTTAGAGGAAAGTTCTTATAATATATAATTATGCAGTGACTGTATCTATGTGAAGTCTGCCATATTTGAATTATCCTGACTGACCTGAAAGATGTACTGACAGATAGTAAGTGCACTCTATATTTTATTATCTTGATTAATATCTGATTTAATATTTCTGTAAATTAACTTATTTATGCATTTTCTATCATTCATGAGTAAATTCAATTGATTTGATCATCAAGTTTATTTCTTTTACTTTTATCATTCAACCTTAGTAATTAGAAATATCAGTTATCAATTTCATTGATGGGATCTGATTATTGATTCTGAAGTTATATAGTTAAATTATTATTTACAGTTGATATGTAGTATACCCGAGACTTGATTCAGGCAGCTTATTGAGTTTAAGCCTTGTTCCATAAACAGGTGATTAATTGATAAGCATATGAAATATAATACTTTTATCATAGATAAATGTAATGTGAAATAGTTGCATTGAAATGTATATATTTATGGAGTAATATTGTATATGCATAATATTCATTATCAGAATTAATGTTTTTAATATATTTTTAATGCAGTCAAGGGAAATAAATTGTGAAGTACTTTAAACTTTAAGAAGATAGCAAGAGTTATCCTTCTTGTATCATACATATTCCCTTGCAAGTTTATTGTTGATTTTTTATGCTCAATATTGTTTATTCCTATTACAGGGCTTAAAACTATAACTACAACTATTATATTATCATTGAGTCCATCCATATCAACACTGAAGTATTTAATAATAAATGATGAACCCATAAGTGGTGTGTTATTCTTCACTAAAGGCCACTACTACATCAACATCAACTGTGTTAAGTTTTCTTAGTTTTGGCTCTTGGGGCTTAGCTGCAGCAGACAACATGCATACAGAAGCAAAGTGTTTTCTTTTCTTGTCGTTGTTACACAATTTTCCAAATGCAGGGCATTTTTTCGGTTGACGGATTCCACAACAGTTTCTGCATGGTTTGTGTAAAAGTTTGCTGTTTTTCTTATTTTGAGAGGGTCCCTTGCTGAAATTTCCAGATTTCCCGCGCGAAATTGTTTGTTTATGTTTCACAGACAAGGCATTGACTGTTTTGTCTTCACCTGCGCGAGTCGTACATTTCAGCTGAGCCTCAGATAGCTCATGTGTTCTTGAATAGTTTATAGCGTTTTCTATTGTCAGCTTTGAACCTTCATTGATACATTTTTGTCTCACCTTATGATCTTTCGTTCCAAAAACGATTGCATCCCGAATCATATCGGTTCTTTGTAATCACAGTCTTTGACTAACAGTTTAAGATCAGTCAGATATTCCTCAAACGTATCTGTTTCTTCCTGTACTCTGCTTAGGAATTTGTAACTAGAGTAGATTTTGTTTGATTTTGGTTTCACGTGTTTTTCTACCTTTTCATACAAAACATCAAGTTTTTTTCGCGTCGTCCTCTGAAAGATTCCACGTCATGGAATATATATCCCTACCTTTGTCACCGATCCAAATCATTAGGCAATTGCATTTCTGTGCCTCTGAAGATTTGGTTAAGGGTCTAGCAAACCAAAATTGAAATTAATTGTTGTTTAAAGGATTTCCAAGCAGTATCTACGTCAGTGGAATTCCATTCCATTTTCGGGTTAACGCCTTGTAATCCCTCCATAATGCTGATGATGAGTTAGCACGGATGTCCTTACAACTTTTTAGATTGTTTTCCGTGGCCGATGGCTTTATTTTAAGGCGATAGTCATCGATTATTCTGACACCATGTCAAATAACAAGAAGGCCGTCATGATAGTTACTGATTTCAATAATAATAATAAAACAATTAACATACAAAACAAAGACGGATAACTTCCGGATATAAAATAAACAAATCTTAGGTATGTGACACTCATATACGAAATACAAACTCAGGGTTAAATAAGACACCAAGATATTGAACGCCCAATTTCTCTAGACTTCTTATATTTTTTTTTATTGTAGACTATTTATAAGCTATTTAATAATAAGGTTTATTAAGATATCAGTTGTATTATTAATAATTTATCCTTTACTGAATAAAGTATAAGTAAATAAATTTATGAAAGAGTAAAATATTCTGTGTCAGTAATATATATTTGGGTTAATATTACCAGATTGATAAAGTATTTATATACTAATAGTCACTTTATCTTGTAACTTTGTATGCATTAGTGTGCATTGCATTATATATACTCTTCAAAAAAAAAGAAACGCATAACAGGAACAATACTCTGAAAAAAATAGGATAGTTTTGTCAGCATTTTTTTTTTTGATGGATGTGATTTATTCCAGTAAATTGCGTTATTTTTTTATCGCAATTGTTAATTGTACATTTATTCTACAAATCTGACAGACAAAAAGACCTGATTTTGCAAAATGCTAAAAAAAAGATTTTTCGCAATTTTCATTTGTTGGTTTCTGGTGCAACTCCTTCAGGCACAAAAGGGCTATCAAAAGCTGGGGTTCTCGATATTTTGATTCTGGTTTTATCTGAAAATTGACGCTATCTAAAAATGCTGCATCTGAATGTTGCATACCACAAAAAGGAAAATGGGCGACTGGAAGCAGGTGTACCACAGTCTACAATTGCAAGAGGTTTTAATGATACGCCGCACATCACCATACCTAACCAATAAAACATATACCATTAACATGGAACACCCGATGTTCGCCAAAAATTTGGCGGACCACGCGTGACATCAGCAGCAGAGGATCGCTTCAGTGGTTTATGTCATTTTCATAAATGTTTCACAATAACGTCATCAACGGCATTAGGTATCCCTGAACTGCACAGAACATCTAACAAGACCATTTGCAGTTGATTACGGAAATCTGCAATTATTGCTAGAGGATTATTTATGTCATTGTTCTGACCGAACACCACCTCAAATATCAACTTCAAAGATCTCAGATTAATAGAGTATGGCCACAGCAACACCGCTGAACATTTTGGTTTAACTACTAGTCCAGAATATTTATTGCAAAAACTGGTGTAAGTTTAAGAGTGCATAAGCTTCGTAATGAACGTTTAATAGAAAACTGCCTCGAGGACGTTGATAGATTTGGTGGTGGTAGTGTAATGAGATATTAAATGGTATTACATAAAAGTAAGACTGATTTGGTTCATGTTCAAAGGACTTTAATGGAAAAAGCCACTTTAACGATGTTCTACCTGCAAATGCCTTTCCAGTATTGCAGCATCCTGCAGCCGTATTTTAATATGACAATACACAGCCAAACACGGCTCGCTTGACAATCATATTCTTGCAAAACAACAGAAACCTGTTTCTTCTGTGGTCATCTAAATCGCCAGATTTAAACCCAATTGAGCATGCAATTGACAAAATGGATTGGCATAATTTGCCAAATACAATCGCATCCCCAGACTCTGCAACGGCTGACCAAATCGGAGGCGAGTATTCTTAAACAGTTTTTATTACATTCATTTGTTTCAATTAGATGTCGTTTTAGGCTATCATTTGTGTCTGTGGTGGGTATACCAGATATTGATCTTTATCGACCTTGAACTGTCTTTGATTTTAAAATTCTTGAGTAATTATAACATTTAGATCGCAAACCTATTGTTTACCACATTTCTTTATTATCAATGCAACATTTTACTAAATAATCTTTATGTTCAATGTTTCACTAAAATTCCACTATGCGTCTCTTTTTTTTTTTTGAAGAAAATATTTTAAATTTTAAAGTGGCGAACATATTGTATATGTGGCATTCTGATCTGCCATCTACTTTTTTTAGTCGAGTTTTGCAGCTAGTTATAAACAACTATACCGGACCAAAACTGCACAAGTAGCAGCGTTAAAAAACACTATCGCACTAACACAACTTCCTAAACACGTCATCACGATATTGCATTCTTAAACAAACGCCGGCGCGCTATAACACAACACGCCGCTGCACTATTACAATATTGAATGTGCAATTAGTTGCTTTTTAGCGCAATGGCTTTTTGTGTAACCCAGTTTCAGACAACTGTGGATATTTAACACATCTTACATTTTAACAAGTATCATAAATGTTTTATTGCACATTTTCTATTTCTGCTTCCATTTCAGAAATGATTGATATTTCAGAATATTATGATATTTAGAAATGATTGTGTAAGCCTCCTGAG